ATCAAGATTCCACAGATATTAGGCCTCGCTCCACTACTCTCGAAATGTGCAAAACGAGAAAGATACACGGCCATGATTTTTGTCTTTTGTGCATGTAGAGAGTAGTGCAGCGACGCCAATTAACGCGTCCATGAGTCCATGACAGCACACTCTCTTATTTCACTTGAAAGATAGGGCCTCACTCCAGTACTCTCCAAATGTGCAAAAGGAGAATGAATCTTCGGCTAGAGCAAGGAAAGAGATACACCCCCATATTTTTTGCCTTTGGTGCATGTGGAGAGTAGTAGTGGAGCCAGGCCGATAGATTGGCATCAAAAGAAAGAAATACACAATGTCATGATAAACTGTCATAAACACAATGTGGTCCCCGTGAAAAGCACATGTACGCCAATTAAAGGATGAGAAACTGATGGGTTGTTGTTTGTCTTTTTTTTCTCTCTCGTCTAAGAGAGACAGCTTTTTTTTTTTTTTTTTTTTTTTTTTTTTTTTTTTTTTTTTCTTTTTTTTTTTTCCCCTTCCAGTAGATATCACAAAAAATTATTAAAAATCATAGGCGTGTAGAGATTTTTTTTATCAACACGCCCGTATCTCTCGCTCTCTCTCTCTATATATATATATTGTCACAAAACTATTCACTAAGACCACAAGCACGTGAAGTAGAAGGATAAATAAGATGAGCAAAGAAAGGAAAATGAAAGGATAGACATGCAAAGAGATAGACAAACCAGAATGACACAGAACAATGCCCTCTTATTATTCGTTTCACTGTATATTGAAGAAAGAATAAAAATCAAAAACAAAAGCACATTGAAATCATTCAGTTTCTCAGTCTTCTTAACGCCTCCTCCACCGTGTATCTAACGTACAAGGCTCGCCACGTTGATGAAGTTGAGCACGAGTTGCCCCCATCCCCGTATGCCATAACAGCCCACTTGCACGCTATGGGAAAGAGGCAGAGTGAAGGAAGTGGTGTTAAACACAAGGAAGAGAGGAGCAGACAGGGTAACCAGCAGACAGAGGGAGAAAAAACAAAAATAAAAATAAAAAACGTTGACACAAACATCTTCTTTCTTTTACTGCATTCTTCTTTCTTGCAGTTTTTGTGAAGAGTCTTCCACGTTCGGTTTTCAGCGCACCTGCACTTCCTTCTTCATTTTACAATATCATTTTCACCCTTTTGACTTTTCTTTTTAGGGTGTTTGGGTGCTGGGTACAAACAAAGTCAAATGACACAGACTTATATTCTTCTTTTACTGCAATATTCTTCACTGTTTTGCATCTCTAGTGAAGGGTTTCCCACTTTTGCACATTCTTATACAGTTTTTTCAGCGCACCTGCACATTTTTGTCAAGGTGCAAAGTACGTCTAAGTAAGACCCTCACGACAAATAGGACAACTGTCATAAGGATGTGGGCGATGGTAGCATCCCTCCCGCTGATCCATAGGACGAAAACCATTCAGGTAAGCAACTTCGTCACCAGGAGCCAGGGCGGCTAGCATTAACCATACCTCTGAAGCATGCACGACAGAGGGCATGCCGGTTGCAGACCATGACGATTGTGGGGCGTTCACCATCACAGTTAAGTGCACATTCACTATAGCGCCCGCAGACACAGATGGGACATACTGCATCTGGATGCAGAGGATGTTCACAATCCGGATACAAGTGACATCCCTGTCGACAGCGGGCCCGAACAATTATATGGTTGTAGTGATGTCGACAAAGTCGATGTTTTCCACAACCAAGTGTAACTGTGTCAGTGATCTCACAAAGAAGGAGGTCACAAGGTGTTAATGCAGTATGTGGGGGTTAAAGCAGGCACAGTGACAGACGTGGAGGTAGGCACGGAGACAGACACAAAAACGGGCATGGAGACAGGTGTGGAGGCAGGCACAGAGGTAGCTGTAGAGGCGGGGACGGAAGTACATATGGTACTGATAGAGTCAGTAATCTGGAAGGAGACAGACACCGAAACAGGCACAGAAACCGGCACAGAAATAGGCACAAAGACAGGTACAGAGGGAGGCACATAGACAGGCATGGAGACAGGCACAGAGGCAGGCACAAAGATAGGCGTAGAGGCGGGCAGGGAAGTACAGGAGGTACCCATAGGGTCAATGACCTGGAACAGTTGCAGGTTACGATAATGACGCACGAGATCAGAGATGGCAGTAATTGTTTGCACCATAGCACCGTCATTCCATAATTCCCAAGAACCAGAGGCAAGGACAAGAGCAGTGTAATGGGCAGGAGTATGTAGAATATAGGCACAAACGCGCAAACAGTGGTTCGGGTCGCCACTCGAAGGGGCACGCTGCACATCAAGCCGGCGCCTTATCAAAGCAGTCTCCAAAACCGAGACATTGAATCCCCCATGTCGAGTGTAATTACTATCCTGTGGGGGGTGCAAAGACGGGTTCTCGCCATATAACTCACGCTCCTGAGCATCAAGATTGGAAGCAATGGCAAAAAAACTGAGTGAGTATATGGTTCCCGATGATAGGCTTGTAGGCAGATGTTAGTAGCAGCGAGGCCACACAGATTCGGTGGAGGCCAGTCAGGGGGATTTTCTACAGAATCTCTTACAGGCCCCTTGCCAAGTTCATCCTCGGACGGTCCCTCGCCATCATCCCTCCTATTTTGTGTTAGCCGCGTTGTAGAAAGATCTGAAGTCGAAGAGCGTTGTAGGCATGGTAAGGACGCTTGGGGCGGCAAAAGAMGGGGACAGGATGTTGGGGAGGGCCGTGGTGGGGAGAATGAACGGGTTCTTCTTCGTCCAAGAATAGAGATGGAGGAAAGGGGAGTAAGGTGAGGCTAGGAAGTAGGTCGAAACCGACGTCTAAGACGGCGAAGTGGGCTTTCTGCAGGGGAAGAACATGATGACGGAGTCTGTGTGGACGAGGTGGTTTGTGGATTAGGAAGAGGGGTAGCGGATTGAGACAAAACCAGGGGAGGTCGGAGTGGTGAAAACAGCGGTGGTACAGTAGCCGGAAGGTGGGTAACAGACGGAGATAAAACCAGGGGAAGTAAAGGCGGTGAAGATGAGAAGGATGAAGTCAGGGGTGGTGAAGTGGCTGAAGCGGACACAGGGGGGGCAGTCGYAGGTGAGACCCAAAGAGGGGACTCTGCAGGTGGTAATGCAGGCATGGCCACAGATACCATGGAGGAGCACACCAAGACCGAGGGCAACACAACAGTTGTGGTGGCCACGGATGCCATGGAGGAACACACCGAAACCAAGGGCGACGCAGCAGCCGTGGTGGCCACGGATGCCATGGAGGAACACACCGAGACCAAGGGCGACACAGCAGTTGCGGGTCGAGTTGCTCTCGCGGAATCAATCGTAGAAGCAGCCAAGGTCGATGGGGAAGAGGCTGCGAACCGAAAAGGGGTAGCCAGGGTCACAAACGGCATGGAAGGGGTCATTACGACTGATGAGGACGCAGGTGCAGCAGATGCAGGTAATGAAGAAGAGGCTGTGATAGGTGTGACAGACGCCGGTGATGAAGAAGGGGCTGTGACAGGCGTAGTCCGAGGACAGTGTGTGGACACCCGAGAAAGAGGGTGATGGATAGACCATCGAAGCATGCTGCGGAACCAGCTGGAGAGGCGGGTCACGTGGGCAGGGTACCTGTGTTGACGTTTTTACGAATATAGGAAGTCCATCCTTTCGCAAGCGTTGTTGGAGAGTGCCCGCGAAAAAGCATACGGTGTGTGAGCATCGCTGTTGCAGTCTTAAAGTCATACCAGTTGTTGCAGACATACTCGAACCTAGTAAGTTGGCCTGTAAACACTCCCGCCGACTGGTGTGCAGGGACATTAGACGCAGCACTAGGATAACGAATAATAGGGAAATTTCATTCAGCTGCTTTGTCAAAGACACTCATACGCAAGGAACCGTCAGGGCGGACTTGGAGACGTGCACCCAAGAATGTGCAAGAGCCATCAGGCGCTGTGGTCTTCTTCCATTCAAGGCCATAATGCTCAAACGGTGGTGGTAGATGTCCCCATGAGAGAACATCATCGATCAAGCGGTATGTGAAGGCATACCGTTGAGCTGCGCAAAGATCACGCTGCTGGAGGTCGTCAACAAACCGAGCCTCATCCCAATACAACGTCAAATTAGCTATCTCCGGACCAGAATTAGTTCCCTATCGGGATGCCAATCAGCTGGTGTCGCAAGGTGCCGTCCGCTGCATAAAGATTTGTGTTTGTGACAATGAAATGGAGATGTTCAAGAATTTGGGAAACGGTCAAGGTGTTGGATCCGGTATCAACCGTCCACTCCCTTGACGGGGCCCTTTAACAATCATGTTAAGGGTAGGAGGATGTGTGCGCCCTTGTGTGTGCTGTTGTAAGGCATATGTATAGGCTTCGTTAACCGCTTTTGATACATTATGACAGGTACGGTCATGAGGAAGATTGATATACATAGTTGTGAAATCAATAGTGCGAGGAGCATGCTCACAAAGAGAACATGAATTACGTTTGAGATCAAGCATCACCTCCTCAGCGCTTTGCACGATCCAGCACCGTCTCACACCAGTTTGCTGATACAACAGATTATCCTTCTCACGGAGAGTCTCAATGACTCCTTGTAATGCAACGCTGAGGCGGGCAAAAGTGACGGTAGTGCTGGCCAAGGGTTTGTGGGGAGGTCGATGGTGGATTGCATGAACAGATGGCGACATTGATCGAGATCGCTGCGGCAGAGAGAGATTGTTTCGTTCTGTAACGCCGACAATACTGCAAAGCCCAGGGGGCGATTTATGCGCTTTAAGTGCATAGTACAGATACGGCAACGTGTCTGTGTGTGTATATCCCCACCGATGATTCCAAAGCGCGTGGTGTTTGAGAATATCTGCGACAGAGTCAAGAGGCACATCATAGGTAGGGCTGTCTAAATGAGCAGATAGATGAGACAAGTACCAATTTTTACAACATATTGCTAAGTTGTGTGAGGTCTTGTCAACAGGAACAATAACAAAGTGTTGTTGAAGGTGTCTCAAAGCCCTGTGCACTGAGTGAAGGGAGTGCGGTTGTCGTGTAGTAGTGTGGGGGTATGAGATGTTGCTTTGGCAACGTGTGAGAACGGTTGAGCGCCATTGATGCAATTTGTTCAGAGCGGTCGGTCGAAGCTGCTCGGAGACCGACCTCAGGTATTTAGCAATATACTCGTCAAGGCCGACTCTAACAGCCTGAAGCACATCAACGATTTGTCCATTAAGACGATACTTCGAGCCTTCATGGAACAAGTCGCGGAGGCGATCATTAGGAATGATATCGCAGTTGGTTGTAACAACATGGTCGTCGACTAAGTGTGAGCAGTTAGGAAACACTTTCCGACATTGACAGTCTGAGGGGTCAAGCAGAGAGATCCCAGGTGTTACGCTGAGCGCGACTTCCGTGAAATTAGAGAATTGGACGCGAGTTGGCGGCAACAACTTATCACAGATACGCAGGTGTGCTGCGGCATCAAGGTCAGGGTGCAAGTGGAGCACCTGGGGTGCATGTAGGGCTTGTCGCAGGCCCGTTACCTGAGACACCTCGTGCATGTGCACAACTTTAATATAATCAAGGAAGGCATCTCGAGACTGGGTTGTGTATCGTTGGCGGACATGTTGATACTTCCGAATCAGGCATTCAAGCTGCTGGATACGCGCACTCATATCTGCATTGGAGATATTATTGCTCAACCACTGCAGCAAGCGGGCACGCCAAACTGACGTTGCTCGCTGGATGACAGATTCCATCTGTTGCGAATTGCCAGCAGCAGCTTGTGAGAGAAGATTGTGCAATGCAGGCCGGACTTGAAAGTCGGGGCCTGGACGCAAATCAATAGGTTGGGGCTGTTGATGGTCTAACGGACGAGGGCCTCTCTGTGTCCATCGTTGAGGACAACGTTGTTGTCTTCTTGCAGGCAGGCGAGCAAGCAGCAGGACAACGTTGAGACCAGCTGGATGAAGAGTTCGCAACCGACGTACCCAATAGGCTTCCCGTGTCGTAGCTGCCCGTCGAAAAAGGTTACGGTCAACAAGACCCTGCGGTGTATGGTAAAGGGCCGGGTCAATACGTTCCAAGGGCCAAACTGCAAAATTGAAGAGGTTTTGACAAGACATGACACTGTAGAGGCGGCGACGCCGGAACTCCACAGCAGAACGACGAACATGCCAATGCTCCTGCAAACGTTGATGCGAAGAGTGCATAGTCTGACCTATGTAAAGACGCCCAGAGGGGATATGAACGATGGCATAGATCACTCCTCAGACACAGAGAGGGTTCTTACCTGATTGCAATGCCTGTTGATCAATGCCTCTCAACTGCAATTCAAAACGCTCTGTTTGAATCGCCGTGTTAAGTTGTTGCAACTGCCTCTTGCGCCAAGTACCTGCAGAGTAAAGGTCAGTATTCCAGCGAAGGTGTCGAATCCAATCAACTCGACGTGTGGAATCAGCGTGTAGATGAGGCTGGGAGGAAAAAGCAGAAAAGAGTCGATGATTATTACGAGAAACTATACGTAAAGTAGTGTCAACAGGAAATCTCCCAAGAATTCCTTGATCCACCGTGTCTAATGTAGTGTCAACAAGAAATCTACCAAGGATTCCCTGACCTATGTTGCCTGGAACTACGCCTACTATGCCAGTAGTAAGAAACTTCCCGAGAATCCCCTGATTAATCCTTTGTGTTGAATTCATTTGTTTAAAAGTAAGTTTTTTTTTTTTTTTTTAATTTTTAATTTTTTGGTAAGAGAAGAGACGAAGAGGTGCACAGAAAGGCAAGGTTTTAGGCCCGGCGGCCAGTTCGGGAACTGATCCTGCCGCTGTCCTGTTCGTATGGTATTCACCATTAGCAGTGAGCCAACAGAATGTTGGTTCATGTATGACTCTGCATCCCCCGGTGAGTGTGTCGTGACCCGGTATAATCCAATATGATCCTAGTGCTCACAGCCTTGCACCGACAGACCAACAGCGTCAGTTCAGCAAAATGAAGCCAACCTATAGGCTTTATTAATATGTGAGGTTTACACGAAAGTGTACGATACAAAGAGGTGAGATGGGCATGGGGGCTGCCACCCGGGTTTGGCTAACCTTGGGTGGGCCGTAACTATACCCACCACATAGGAAAAGGGTTACAACCAGTGTCCTTACGGTGACCGCCACCACAGTCCTTATGTGCACAATACCTTATACAATAATAAAACTGTAGCACCCGGCAACGTACCAGATCAAACACCTAACAGGGCTAATATTGTCCAAGCATAAAGAAAATAATGACAAAGTACCAGGTCATCAGAGAGCCCGCCGAATGAAATACAGCCCCTGAAAGGATTCAGGAAGCAATGAGAGAACAGGGGGCACAATGCAGAACGAAGATTGACAATACGCAATCTATACATCAATGAAAGACATCAATTGAAGGTTCAATTGAAGAATCGCCTGGTTGTACAGGCCCGACGCTGGCCGTTCGATCTGCAAACGCAGAGAGCTAGCAACGTCGGCATATATATTGTCACAGAACTATTCACTAAGACCACAAGTACGTGAAGTAGAAGGAGAAATAAGATGAGCAAAGAAAGGAAAATGAAAGGGTAGACAGACAAAGAGACAGACAAACCAGAATGACACAGAACAATGTCCTCTTATTCTTCGTTTCACTGTATCCTGAAGAAAGGATAAAAATCAAAAACAAAAGCACATTGAAATCATTCAGTTTCTCAGTCTTCTTAACGCCTCCTCCACCGTGCCTCTAACGTACAAGGCTCGCCACGTTGATGAAGTTAAGCGCGAGCTGCCCCCATCCCCGTATGCCATAACAACCCACTTGCACGCTATGGGAAAGAGGCAAAGTGAAGGAAGAGGTGTTAAACATAAGGAAGAGAGGAGCAGACAGGGTAACCAGCAGACAGAGGAAGAAAAAACAAAAATAAAAATAAAAAACGTTGACACAAACATCTTTTTTCTTTTACTGCATTCTTCTTTCTTGCAGTTTTGGTGAAGAGTCTACCACGTTCGGTTTTCAGCGCACCTGCACTTCCTTCTTCATTTTACAATYTCATTTTCACCCTTTGGACTTTTMTTTTTAGRGTGTTTGGGTGCAGGGTACAAACAAAGTAAAATGACACAGACTTATATTCTTCTTTTACTGCAATATTCTTCACTGTTTTGCAGTTCTAGTGAAGGGTTTYCCACTTTTGCACATTYTTGTACACTCTTTTCAGCGCACCTGCACATTTTTGTCAAGGTGCAAGGTACGTCYAAGTAAGACCCTCAYGACAAATAGGACAACTGTCATAAGGATGCGGGCGATGGTAGCAGCCCTCCCGCTGATCCATAGGACGAAAACCATTCAGGTAAGCAACTTCGTCACAGCAGGAGCCAGGGCGGCTAGCATTAACCATACCTCTAAAGCATGCACGACAGAGGGCATGCCGGTTGCTGGCCATGACAATTGTGGGGCGTTCACCATCACAATTAATTGCACATTCACTATAGCACCCGCAGGCACAGATGGGACGTACTGCATCTGGATGTAGAAGATGTTCACAATCCGGATACAGGTGGCATCCCTGCCGACATTTAGGCCTTGAACAAATTCTCGGGGTTTCATACCCGCACTCGGCCGTCGGTGGGCAGCCGCCGCGGGCGGGATCCCAACCGCAGGCGGTAAAATGCCATGCGATCGCGACCGCGGGTGATACATAGCCTCACGTTCATCGAAAGTGTAGTTTTGGTAGGCAGTAACTGACGGGAGTAGAAGGCGATCGGGCAATCCCCAACATGAGTCTCGACAGTCCTATCCTCAGCGGTGGTCGGGTAGTAAGTAACGAAGGTCCGAACTGTCAGTGGAAGGAAATGGTGGGAGGGTAGACGTAAGTCAAGAAGCAGTGTCAGCAGGAGGGGGGGGGGAGGACGAACATGAGGATAAGGTGAATCGGGAGGAGAGGGAAACACCTGAGAAAGTACTGCTCCWACTGCAAAATCTGACGCATCAGTGGTGACAATGAAGGGGCAATCAAAATCGGGGAGGCGAAGAATCGGCGTACAAGTTACCGCCTTCTTGAGGGCGCGAAAAGTATCCTAAGGCTCACAGAGGGGTGTCCAAAACCATGGCGGGTGGAGGTAAGGACGTAGCAATACCTAGCGTATCCCCGGATGAAATTACTATAGTAACTAGTGAGGCCTAGGAAACTGCGAAGGTGCTTGGCAGATGTGGGGGCGGGCCAATCTGCAATAGCAGTGATCTTCACGTCGTCCATGTGGAGACCCTGCTCAAACATATGATCTCTTAGGAAGTTCTCTTTACTGTGGGTAAAGCGGCACTTACTAAGCTTGGCATAGAAGTTATGCTTGCGTAAGTGCTGTAGGACATCGCGGAGGTGTCTGAGATGGTTTTCTAAATTACGATTGTAGATGTGGATGTCGTCCAGGTATACGAGAACGTATTCTTCGAGGATGTCCCTGAAAATGTCGTTCATCGTCGTCTAGAAGGTGGCAGGTGCATTGGTGAGGCCGAATGGCATCACCGTGAACTCGTATTGGCCGAAACGCGACCGAAAGGTTGTCTTCGGTTGGTCCTCTATACTACGTGGATCTGGTGGTAACCGCTACGAAGATCGATCTTCGTGAAGAAGCGGTTTCTTGCCAGACGGTCAAACAACTCATCCGCACGAGGCATGGGGTAGTTGTTCTTAACCGTGTAATGGTTAAGGCCGCGGTAGTGAATGCAAAGACGAAGAGTTTCGTCCGCTTTGCGAGCAAAGAGAACGGGTGCACCCCAAAGGGAGTGACTGGGTTTAATGAAACCGAGTCGAAGGACTTCCTCAAGCTGATGCTTGAGTTCTGTCATCTATGGAATCGAGAGTCGGTACGGTCCCTGATGGTGAACAGGATAGTCAGGCACGAGCTGGATAGAATGCTCGACACTGCACATCGGAGGGATCCCGCTGTATGAAAAATACGGGGGGAAGACGTCGCGGTACTCTCGTATCAGGTCGTGAACGGCGGGCTCTAAGTCAGCCATGAACCGCATGAGTTCCTCAACGTCTGCGTCGGCACGAGACGTATGGGTGGACTCGGCAGTGAACGACGAAGGGACCTGGGATGTCGAGGGGGTATCCGCAAGCTGACGGGTGGATGTGGAGATGAGAGCCGCAAAGATGGAGGAACGGTCAGGGGGATCGGGCTCCAATGAGATTAGCTCAACCTCGGGCCAGAGTGTATCGTAGTGAAGAAGATCCATGACGTTCACTGAGTAGAACGTGACGTCTTCCTGTCGTATGAAGTGAGCAAACTGACGAGGAGAAGTGAAGGCGATGTCTGGGTGAGGCCCCGAGAGACGAGGGTCCTGGGGAGGTAGGTTTGGAGGGGTGTCGCCTATAGTTCCAATGAAGGGGATTCGATGGGTTTGACCGCACTTCGTTTTGAGAATGAGTGTCTCAGTCGCCCATTCGGCCTCTGTGCCACGGAACCGGCAAGACCAGGGAGTGCCAAGGATAAAGTCGTACCCAGTCTCCAACACATCGAAGTATGCAGAGGAATGGTAGCGTCGACGCGGCTCGGTACTAATGATGGTTGGAGGGTGAGGGAGAAGTGGAGATCAGAGACTGTCTGATCGAAGAAGCACTGCGTCTTGTTATCTCCGAGGATAATGGAGATAGGAGAGCGGGACTCGGAGGTAGTTAGGTGAGCTTCCTCAACCACCCGAGGGTGAACGAAATCGCCCTGCGAGCCAAAGTCCCATAAAGCGCGGTACACCCTCGTAGATGTCCCAAGGTGAATATGGATGATGGGGAGGGTGTGGTCAGGTTCAGAGAGCAGAGTGAGAAGGGACTATCTGATCGAAGAAGCGTTGCGTCCTGTTATCTCCGAGGATAACGGGGATAGGAGAGTGGGACCCGGAGGTAGTTAGGTGAGCTTCCTCAACCACCCGAGGGTGAACGAAATCGCCCTGCGAGCCAGAGTCCCATAAAGCGCGGTACACCCTCGTAGATGTCCCCAGGCGAATAGGGATGATGGGGAGGGTGCGGTTAGGTTCAGAGAGCAGAGTGAGAAGACGACGCAAGACGTTTACGTGTCTCGTGCGTCACTCCTGGCGAGCCTGAAGGATACTCAAATTCAGGAGAAATGACACAACGTCATCGTGAGTCGCCAGCTGGGCACTACAACGAGTTATGCAAATGGTTCGACACGTCAGAAGTCTCGGAGGGGGAGGACTACATGAGGCGGTCTGCTATGGGGCAGACGGTACCTCGACATACGACGGGTCAGAGGGAACTGCGTCTGTCGTGTCCTTAGGAACCTCTGGTGGGGTAGCCAAAGGGGCAAACCGCGACTCGGTGGTCGGGAAGCCGGCTACGTGCGAGGCCTCAGCGGTACACTTCACAGTGGCTAGCTGGGTGAGGCTGGCCGGGCCGGGCCGGGGGGGGACTGAGATCGGCGCTGACGAGAAATGTTAGCATAGTGCCGATCGAGGGCGGCATGGTATGGACACTGTGAGGATGTGTGTTCATCCTGACAGCAACGAAGGCAGCCACGACGGGCCTCGAGGGCGGCCCGCTTCTCAGGGGATAGAGCTCCGCGAGGAGGGACAAAGCCTTGCGGGAGGTCTATCTGAGGAACCATGACTATGCGGGCGCTAGCCTGTGCAACCCGACTGTGCGCACAACCCATGGCAGACATGGTCATCTGCAGGCGCTCGACCACCGGGACAGTGTCGTTGTCCAAGTGGTACTGGATGGAGGAACGACCGCGAGTAGTGTCACGAGACTAGGTGGTGAAGGCGGATCGCGAAGAGGACGGGGCATCGGCGAAGGGACTTTGAATCCTCTGGTACTGTCTAGCAGCCTCGTAGGCCTGCTCCGTGGAAGAGAATCACCGCCTCCATAACTCCAAGCGGTAGTCAGTCGGAAGACTGACGAGGAACCGGTCGGTAAGGGTGACCTCGGGTAGAAAAAGGCAGGCATCTTGAAACACCCGGATGTGACGCTCGAGGTCAGCCGGTGTAAAGGACCTTGACCATCAGGTCTGTGTAACGCGGTCTAAAGCGTCAGTGGCGTCGTGACGAACGTCAAAGCGGTCCTGAAGGAAGGCCGCAAAGTCTGCAAGAGTAGGGACCTCACCCACGCGGAGGCGCTGGGTATAATAGTCCTCCCACACAGTGGAAGGGCTGCCTCACAATTTGGTTGCGAGCACATCGCACCACAACTCCTGACGGGTGGTCGTTAGGGAGAGTGTGCGTGTTGCTATCAACAACCAGCGAGAGACGCGGGATGTGCCATCATACTCGGGAATGTCTGAGGTGCGCACAGGAGGGTGTCCGTTGTGCTGATGGCGGGGGAAGGAGACCGAGGCGCATGCAAGGCCGCGGCGAAAGTCGGGGCCGCTGTAGGGGCAGAGGTAGAGGAAGGTTGTGGACTGTGACCACTGGCAGATTGATCACCCGATGTGGAGGCAACAGTCGTGGGCAACTGTCTCGGAATAGACAGGTAGGAAGGGAGAGACTGAGGAGCAGGTCGAGGGAAATGAGCCTGCATCATGGGGGGTGAAGGGGTGGTAGAAGAAGAAGAAGGGTGAGCAACCTGTGATGGGTGAGGCTATCTCAGAGCAAGGATTTTCGTCTCAGCATGCGCAATGGTTGTCTGTAAAGCGACCACTCGCTGGGTGCGCGGGGTTGCGGTTTGAAGGAGGCGGGGGGGGCATACCCCCGGGAGGAAGAACCTCAGACTGCGGGGTACCCTGCTGTAGGGGTAAGGGGACGAAGGCGGGGAGTGTGGACGAAACCGTAATGCCGCGATCAGTGTAGGGAGCTGGGAAGCATCACCGGAACGAGTTGGTAAAATTGTCGGTCCAGATGATGGTCTTTGGACCGCAGGGCCTACAACAGCGGCAAAGATGGTAGCGGAGGCAAGGGTCAGGAGAACTGTCGCAATAGACGGGGTGGTCTGACCGGCAGCAGCGCTCATCATGGCTGAGGGGGAGTGTTGGGCCTCAGCGTAGGGGAGGGCGAACCACCATGTCTGTTTCGCCGGAGTCGTGGGGAACCGACCGGTAAGCCGGTTGGGGATGGGGTGTGAGAATGGGGGGAGAGCGATGGGGAGAACCTTTGAGGCGGTTGACGTTAAGGGCAAGCGCATTGATTTGCGCTTGCAACGATCCAAGCATACTAAGTTGCATTTGGATCGCTACCTCTTGACAGCAGCAAGCCACAATATCAACTCATACTGTGGCTTTGGCCAGTGCGTTAAGGCACTGCTGCACTAGCTATGCACGCGCATGAGCAGCAGCTGCCCAGGTTCAAACCCTGGCAGCTGCAGCATCCCGGACCTTGATAATAATAATCCGGGATCATGGCACGAGCATGCGCGTGCGGTCGGCCTTGGTCTTGGCGGGGCAGCGGGGCAGAGTGGGCACGTGGCACGCGCGCACGTGCGGTGGCCTTAGTCTTGGCGCTTGCTCACACGCGTTGTGACGGCAGCTCCCTTTTTCGCCACGTGTCTGCCTCTTCACGCTACCGTTTTTCCCCGTTTTTTCGCTGTTCAAGCCCAGAAAAACGTTGAAAATCCCGCTATCGAGATTACGCCGATTTTTTCCTATTGCGGGAGGGTGGGCGGGTTGGAGCGGGGACCATTCCCGCTCTGATATTAGTGTGCCAGGATGGAGAAGGAGGGTTGACGAAGGAGGAGGTGGAGATGGAGATGGCAGGACAGTGCAACTCCGACGCAGACTCAACACGCACGTACTCCAAGATGTGCAAAAGTAAACAATGCCTGAAAAACATACAACAGCTGGGGTATACCCCCAGAGGACTGACTGACTCGATTGGACTGGCCTGGTAACGACAGTGGTACCGGGCAGGACTGGACTGGACTAGAACAGCATACGGTCTGTGGCGTCAGGCCACGGTCTGGTCCCACAGACCGAATTGGCAAATAGCCCAGGTAGTATGGGTTATCTGGCCGGATAACCTGGTCAGATTATCTGGCCGGATGATTGAGGGGTAGGATCATCCGGAAATCCGGATGATTAAAAAAATGCCTAAAAAAAGCAAAAAAAAAAGTAATATTGCGCATGCAAAATACAATAGAACTACGTTCGTATTACTTGAAAAGCTTGATAGGGCCTGAAAGGGTTCAAAGGGGATAAGATAGGGAATAAAGGGGTTTAGAGGGGGGATGCTTAATTCATTCTATAATTTTTTATCTAAATATTATTTTCTTGTTCTGTTTGATTTTTTATCTTCATATCTGTTAAGTAATCAAAAATGGCCTCCAACTTATCACAGATACGCAGGTGTGCTGCGACATCAGGGTCAGGGTGCAAGTGGAGCACCTGGGGTGCATGTAGGGCTTGTCGCAGCCCCGTTACCTTAGACACCTCGTGCATGTGCACAACTTTAATATGATCAAGGAAGGCATCTCGAGACTGAGCTGTGTATCGCTGGCGGACATGTTGATACTTTCGAATTAGGCATTCAAGCTGACGGATATGCGCAGTCAT